GGGCTGGCTTTAAGATTATTTATTTTTTATTTACTTATTTATTTATTTTTAATCATTTTAATTTAGTTTAGAGGATAGAACAGCCGAGATGGATGTGTTTACCCAAAACGTTATCTTATAGCTTGGAACTGTAGATTAAAAAAAGTGTAAGCTAAATGTTGAGGGGAATCACAAAAGCAGTGATGAAAGGGCTCTCAAAATGGGAGTGAATCCACTGAAAACACCAGAGGACATAGAGACTATTCTGTGGGAATGATCTGTTCTAGGTGAGATGGTTGATCTGCTACCAGAGTTTTAGTTCTTGGACATGATAAGCCGTCAGTTGAATGTGATGGTCATGGGCCCAAGAGAAAGAGTGTATAGCAAGGAAACAGACATCCTGAGAATGAGTGCCTCTCTGTTGGTTGATGTAAGAAATTATAGTAAGTTTCCTGAATGGATCATGACAAGAAGACCAAACAAATGAGACAGAAGATAATGGAAAAATCACTGAGATTCAACATCTATAGGATGCTGATATGGAGAGACTGCTGGTACAGGTGTGTAGAATTGCATTCCAACCAGACAGAGAGATAGTGGTTTAAAGGTTGTTGATATGTTAAGTTTTTGTTTAGTGCAAAGCTACGCAAAGGCATCTTTACTGCGCCATCCATGCATGTGGAAACCCTGATTAATTTAGTGTTACAAGCCCTCAGATTTACTGCTGAACGACTGGGGGGTCTCTGAACACAGGCAAGGTAGGGTAAGAGGGATGCCCAAGATCATGTGGTATCAACTGAGCCTCATCACAGTGAGAGGTAAACTGAAGTTGTGAAAAGATGAAATATACTAATGGGATTGTAAATGTTTAGTAATACATGAATGTTTAGAATTTAGATTAATATCGTGTTTCATGGTCTTTTTTTTTGCTTTTCCTTGAACAAGTTTTTTTTTATAGTTCAGGTGTTATTTCTATTACTAGAATGTTTTACACAGCTGCTACTATATTTTTTAACAGTATAACAACCATTAATTATTTAATTTTGTTGGTGTTCATATTCTGTTAAAAATCAGTAAATTGGGTCTTTGAAAATTGCAGTTTGTTTCTGGAAGTTTTCCTTCCATTAGCCTATACGAACCATGAATAAAGGTAATTGAATGTATAAAATCAATGCACTTGTTTATCTAATTTTGAAGAGGTCTCTTCGATTTGTCTTGTCAACATTTTATTGACTGATATTTCCGTTTACTCTGTCTTTTGATGTTATTATATATATATTGACAAAGAGAGTTAGACAATTAGTGTAATTGATTATTGATTACTCATCAGGCTCATTATTCAATTACATTAAGCTAATTGCTTATTCTCATATGATTTTTATAGTTGGAGTAATCAGAAATAGTAATTATTGAAACTGATTTTGATTAAATTATTATTTTTGTGAGTCAACATTAAACGATTAAGCTGAATAGTATTGAATTAATCAATAATAATAATGAGGAATCATAGTGGCAATACTTGGATAGTTGAAAGCAGTAATAATCAGAAATGCTAATGTTAATTAGTTCATTATTTTATTGACATTAACTGATTATTTTATGTGACACTAATAACTGTAATTAGTGTTTATAGGTAATCAATTATATCAATTAATTGGATTAATCACCTAGGTCTGCAGAAAAAATGATTTGTTACAATTTTGAAATTAAGAGATTTAGGCGTAACAATGTATTCAAGTCATTATCAGAAGATAGTTTGAACAGTATATTTAACCCTTTCATATGGGTCACGGGTGAAAGGCCATGTCATCGCCTTTGTTGACTCACATTCAAAATTTTATTGTACTATTTAGCATATCCAAAAATGGAAAGATGTAGGCAGAGGGGCAACTGTATTTGATTTATTACATGAGCAATATCTTAGCAAACTGAAAAGATACAAGGTTCTTATTTTATATTCTAGCTTGTCAGTATCAGTAATTTGAGTTCCTAATTCATACGAAATTATAGACTTAGTATTTTGACATCACAAACAGCTAATTTGTACAAGTGCTGCATTCAACATACCATGTGACACACAAAAATCGATGTTTAACTGTATTTTTTAATATTTATTTTTAAATTAAGAAACTGAGTAATGTATAAAACTAAAATTTGAATTATAATCTACGGTCTGATACCAAACTATTGAAATAAATTGATGCCCCTTACATACACTTCTATACATGACATGAATAACCAATAAAAAGCTCAGAATGTCCTCCTAGTGGCTTTCTCAGCCATTTTAAATTTTTAGGACACCATCTCTTTCTTTCAAATCAAGATTTCAAGGAGGTAGGTTGTGTCTTTAGTGTGCTCGAGATTTCCTATTTTTTTAGACTGAAATACAGCTTAGTTACTAAGCTTGATAAATTATAGTGGAATTCTATGGTATTGATATAGTAATGTATGATTTTCTTGGTTATTCATCTGTATACATAAAACCAAAAAAAAAACAAAAATTTTGTTTCATATCCTCCATGTGCGAAATTTTAAAAGACGTACCAACCTACATCAAACAGCAACTGAGTACAAAGGTTGTAACTAGAAGAGATAAT